TCTAAAGCTGACGTAATCCCCTTACAGAGTCGGGCTGGCCAATCAATCATTAAGCTTCTTCCAAACAGCTGAGCGGACCCTTTACTGCAGGCACCAGTTGCTCATCTGTTTATGTCAACACACATGCCACTTTCAGGACTACACTTTTAGAAAACCATTTTGAGCCTACAAATTTTTTACAAACATTATTTAAAAGATAATTTCAAAAAGCTAATCGTCAGAATCACAGGTAGAAATCCAACAGTTCATTCCATCTGATTTTGCCCAAAAAAAGATTCAAAAGAAAGGGTACCGCATGAAAACAGATCTGAATCTGTGTTTCCCTGTAATAATAATAATAATACTCAATACTGTCAAGTATTTTCAGCCAGCAACAATATGACCCAATCAAAAGCACTGATAGATGATATCCTAAGTCAAATGCTCATTGTCATCCTTCTACTAATTGTTGCTAATGGTTGCTAATTTCCAAGAACTACAGATCCTCTAATGGTCTTAAAACCTGAGGTTTGTCCCCACAGACTCCCATATTTAAAAGCCCAACTTTAGAGCATGCTTTCAAGTGGTTACAGCTCAATTCAATTGTATTTATTATATTAGCACCAAATCCCAACAACAGTCACCTCAAGGCACTTTATATTATAAGGTAAAGATCCTACAATACTACAGAGAAAACCCCAACAATCAAATGACCCCCTGTGAGTAATCAATTGGCAACAGTGGGAAGGAAAAACTCCCTTTTAGCAGGAGGAAAACCTTCCAACAGAACATGGCTTTGGGGGAGGACTGATGCATCACCCCAGAAATGTAACTCTAGGACAATACGGCCACAAATATCTATCACGATATATATTTTAAAATTTGGGATAGCGATATAACTGATGCGAGACAAAATACTCCACAACATTATTAGTACAAAAAAACCCATCGATTTATTTTCACTTAAACAAGCAGCTGTTTTTTTATGTGCATTAACCTCCTAGGACCTGGCGTCCACATATGTGGACATCACATTTTTGGTTGTCTTATAGACTTACAGTCCAAAAAATCCGGTAGTAAGGACGGCCCGCTTGCATAGTCTACAAAAAAAGTGCTTTGGTGGCTATCTGACGGACAAAAACGAAACCAGCTGCACATCACTGAAGTAGCACGTTTTTAAAAAAAACAATTCTGGTTCATCGGTTTCATTCAATGATCTGCTTTCGCCCTTCTCGTTCTCCGTCGGCGCCATGCTTTTTCTGACATGTGCGTATGAAAACAAAGGCATTGCGCATGCACGTTTTACCCATATTCTATTGCGATATTTCATTTTCTTATCATTGCCTGACATTATACCGGTATTACCATGAACGGTATAATGTGCCCCAGCCCTAGTAATGACTAGGGCTGGGGCACATGATGCTGCTTCACTTCAGCAGCATTAGGTAAGGTTCACATGTTGATTAACGGTTTTCTTTCATTTTTGATCTACTGCAGAATATTTTCATAAAATCCCAGGCCAGGAAAATCCTCTTCATGTTTTATCCTCAATTACTTTGACACAAAGGCCTCTGCTGTGATGCTCACACCTTTGATAAAGTCTCGCAAGTGTCAGCTTTCTTTTTATAGATACAGAAATATGGAAATGTACTGATACGTGATCAAAATTATAATATTTCTGACTGAGGCAAAATTTCCACGATTCAAATCAAATCGTGGATCAAATCGATTCGGGACCTTGTGAATTGGAATCGAATTGATTCTAGAAATCAGTGACGATACCCAGCCCTAGTAACGGCACAGTCACATTGATTGGCCCATTCAGCACCATTGTTTCCTTTTGCGTATTCCCTGATGCTACTACTGCTTCCATTTTTTCTAATAAACTGGAACAGAAGGGATCGACTCAAAGACAGAAACTTCACCAACTACAGCAACCCAAGAACCCCACACATCAGTATGCTGGTAACAACACTGGCCACACACAGAGCACATAACAAACTCAATACACAAGTGTAATTAAGTTTGAGGATGTGACCGTCTTTCTAACAAAGCTAGTGAGCTACTCCCCAGCTAGACCCTCTGATTACAAAAA